TGGCAATTAGCATGGAAATAGTATTGCGTCGAGTCATGCGTAATTCATTGGACACCGCCATTTTCTTTCAAACATTGCAATTACAAGCATGATGGGAACGCAGTTGTTAGTACGATCGACCATGTCAGCGGGAACATTAAGCCGTGTGTATAATCCGACGCGTGTCATAACGCAGACTGCGGCCAGAGGCACGCACCGTGTATCGCTGGATTATGGGGTTGTCGACACGAGGGATCGTGTTATTCGGTATCACGTCCCTCAGGATATCGTACAAATGGATTCGTATTCCGCCGCACTTCTTTCCACGAGCATGCATATCAATGCACGCCCGCCACTTTCCAACTCCTCTCAAGGCGGAGGAATAAAATTTATTGAGGTTAGGTTAGCGCCGATGATTTCTTGTTCCTCGAGCTTCGTAGAATCTGGAAACAGGCGATTAGAAGGAAAAATAAAATCAAAGTCATATTTGAACGTATTATCTAATTTAACTTTAATAATCTAGATTTCTATGTAAAATCAGTAATAACTAATAATTTGATCCAGTGGAAGATTCGAAAAGAAAGATTTGTGATTAATGGTTATCTTGAGATGATTGAAGAATTTACTATTTATTATTATTCGAAAAGACAGTTATATTATTGTAAACAGGAAACAGATATTAATATGCTCGCCACTTTCCAACTCCTCTCAAGGCGGAGGAATAAAATTTATTGAGGTTAGGTTAGCGCCGATGATTTCTTGTTCCTCAAGCTTCGTAGAATCTGGAAACAGGCGATTAGAAGGAAAAATAAAATCAAAAGTCAAACTTACTCGAATGTATTACTTAATTTAACTTTAATAATTTCTATGTAAAATAAGTAATAATTAATTTGATTTAATAATAATTAATTTGATCCAATGGAAGATTCAAAAAGGAAGATTTATGATTAATGGTTATCTTGAGGTAATTGAAGAATTTACTATTTAATTATTTTAATTAAAGTTAAATAGTCTTATTATTTGAAAAGACAACTATTATTGTAAAAAAGAAACAGATATTAATGTGCTCGCTACTTTCGAATCTCTCAAAGTAGAAGAGGAATAAAATTTATTAAGGTTAGGTTAGTGCTGATTTCTTGTTCCTCGAGTTTCGTAGAATCTGGAACAGATTAGAAGGAAAAATAAAATCAAAGTCAAACTTACTCGAACGTATTACCTAATTTAACTTTAATAATTTCTATGTAAAATCAGTAATAACTAATAATTTGATCCAGTGGAAGATTCAAAAAGAAAGATTTATGATTAATGGTTATCTTAAGGTGATTAAAGAATTTACTGTTTAATTATTTTAATGTCTTATTATTCGAAAAGAAGCTATTATCGTAAACAAGAAATAGATATCAATATGTCTGCCACTTTCGAATTTCTCAAGATAGGAAGCGAATAAAATTTATTGAGCTCACTCTTTTTACTCGAACATATTACCTAACCTAACTTAACTTTCTTTCTTTCTTTTCTCTGAACCAAAATTCAAATTTTCTTCCTTTCTGAAATATTGAATTATTCCAAAAGGATTTCCACGATTTCAAAAAGTTCATTTGAAAGAAAATAACATAGTTTCATTGAAATTAAAAAATATTTAATTAATTAAAATTAAATATTCAATCAAATACAAAGTTAAAAATTTTATTCTTAAGCTTTTTCCTCTCTGAAATATCAGATTATTCTAAAAATTTGAGAAAGGAAACATAATTCCATTGAAAATGAAAATAATCTCCACGATTATTTCCAATTAAATTCGATCAAATCAAATTTTTTACATTTGCATTACGAAATATCTATATATTTCTAGTGCATATAAAATAAAATATAGCAACAACTAATAATTTAATCCAATGGAAGATATTCTAAAATAAATATTTACGATTAATTATCTCTGGAGGATTAATTATCTCTGATAATAATCCTCACTATTTAACTATTTTAATCTCTATTTACCGAATAAAGCGGACAAAATTATCTTAAACAAGAAACGGATAACGTGTCGAGTGTTCGCAAGAGCCGCCATTATTATTCGCAGAATCCGCATTCACGGACGGAATTGGCCATTACGCGTGGCGGTAGGTGTGGGAGAAACACCATGGGATCGCGTAGGAATGTAATACAGTGGCTGGGAACAGTCGCGCGGCTGTTTGGAGGAGGCAAGAGAGACCGTAAGAGTGCCGAAAAGGGTAGGCTCTCCCCCTATCCATGGGGACGGAGACGTGCAAGAAGACGCACGAATAGACGCTGAAGGCGATGCTTCTTTCCTTCCTTTGGCCCATTTCTGGTATCGCCAGCTTCCTTTTCTTCCTTTTCCCTCCGTTTTCCAATTTTTTTTCTCCCCTCTCTTCCCCTTATCTCTCTCTCTCTCTCTCTTCTTCCTCCAAACTTCCTATTTTCCGACCGATGGGCCGATTCCAAGGCCGCTGATCCATTCCAAGCAGGTGTCCTTGGTGCAACATTAATTCGACGAATGTGACGCAGGCTTTGCTATTTTCCACATCTTTCACGTGTAATTCTCTTCGTTCCAGGACACGCGATCTCTCTTTGCAATTGTCATTTAATTAAACACTCCGTGACGTAGACAACAAACTCGTCAAATTCCCCTTAAAGAACGATCCAACGATAAACGTACTTCACTCCCTCCGCTCCCCAAGACTCAGCTGTTCAGAGATAAAGAAAAGCCGATCCCAAGCAGGTGTTCTTGGTGCAACATTAATTCGACGGATGTGACGCAGACTGCGCAGCAGGTAGTGCAATTCCTCCCTCCAATGTTTTTTAATATCATTCCCAGGCCTGCCATAACTCTTTCCACGGTGTATATACAGGCGGCGATGCTCCTCGTTCCCAGACAACATGGGGGAATCCCGGCAGATGCGGCCCGTCCCATCCGCGCGACCGGGCTTGCGAAAAGCCAGACCATTGACACTGGTGGGGCGCGCAGCCCTCCATTGTTGCCGGGCTAATAAAGAAAAATAAAGACTCCTCTTCCCTTAGCAGGATATTAACTCTTTCCCGCCCTTCCTTCCTTCCCTCTTCCTCCTGATAGGAGTCGGTTTCGAAAATCTAAACGCGGTTGTTTAATGCAATGTTTCTCTTCTTTATTCTTCATTCGAATGAAAGCAAATCACCTGTCCTCCATTTCCAGCCATGTCTCTTTGCGCTCTCTTCTTCTTCTTTATTCTTTTTCTTCTTCTTCTTCTTTCTTCTTTTTCTTCTTCTTTATTCTTCTTCTTCTTTATTCTTCTTCTTCTTTATTCTTCTTCTTCTTTCTTCTTTTTCTTCTTTATTCTTCTTCTTCTTTATTCTTCTTCTTTATTCTTCTTCTTCTTTCTTCTTCTTCTTCTTCTTTATTCTTCTTCTTCTTCTTCTTTATTCTTCTTCTTCTTTCTTCTTCTTCTTCTTTCTTCTTCTTCTTTCTTCTTCTTCTTCTTTCTTCTTCTTCTTTTTTATTCTTCTTCTTCTTTATTCTTCTTCTTCTTCTTTCTTCTTCTTCTTTATTCTTCTTCTTCTTCTTTATTCGATTCTCTGGATTTTTTTGCTTAGTAGGGAGGAGACAGTTGTTGAGGGTGTTGTTGATCTTTTGACACAGAAGATTTTTCTATTCTTTTTTTTTATGAAGAAGAAAATAGAAGATATTTTTGATTTTTCAACGAGCGAAGCTGGCGCAGCGGCGGTTGGCTAATAAAGAAGAATAAAAGCTCGCTGATGGATATTAGCCTCATATTTTTCTCCTTTACTCCACCGCTGTTTCTCCCTTTCTCTCTCTCTCTCTCTCTCTCTCTCTTTCTCGAGTGTGAGAAAGATCGGTGAGGAAACGGACGCGACGAAACTGTTCGTTCGTGACGCGGTTCCAAAGAAGGAGGAGATGGCGAATTTATGGCCGACTCCCGGCTTCGATTTTCTTGAAACATTGATCCCCTTTCCATCGCCGCGAATTGTTTCCCCGTCGCTCTTCCCCGTCGATCGCATTGAATTGGATTCCCAAGAAAGGATCCCAACCACCCCGTCTCCCTCCTCCAGTTTCTCGAAATTGGGCCGATTGTTTCGTTGATTTATGTGTATGTGTAGCCTCCGCGTTCGAACGAATTAGAGGATGTTTCTTGGACTTGGACATTGAACGGTATCTCGTGAATAATGCACCCGACTTTTTCCAAATTAATTACCGCCACTTAGTTACCTCTTCGTCAGCCTATTCGAGGCTGATCCTGTCATCGAGTTATCCATCGATTCTTTCCGTCGAATTTCGCTCGGCAAAATAACTCATTATCCCGGTTTCGATGGAGCGAGAAAAAGGAGGAATTGGGAACAATTTCGGCTCGTCAGGGGCTTTCCCCTAATTGCACGCTGTGGAAACGAACATGGCGGCTCGCATTAATTCGAGCGCGGCTGCGTTGCTTCTCAGTGTTTCGTCGGAGGGGCCGTGAACGATAAACCGTGGATAAGTAATACTAGGGGGCTAAGGTTGATATTAGTCCGATTCTCTAGTTTTCTGACTAGATTTTAAACTATATATCAGGCCGTGTAACTGCGAAAAATCGATTTTTTGTAATCGTGCACAACTTTCTTTCTTGGGATAATTATTTTATATTCATTAAATTTAATCTAATTTAACTTAATAATTATAATTATTTTAAAATAATTTTCTTGTTTCTTGATAATTAAGAAGAAAAGAATTGTAGAATTGTTGTTTGCTTTTGAATGATCGTGCGAAACAATTATTCTCTATATCTCTAACATTTCAATTATTTTATCGAAAATTGTAAAGAAAAGGAAATCTGACTAATGATAAATTAAACGAAATTATATTAATAATCTGTAGAAACAGATGAAAGAGGAGAATATTTTATTTATTTTCAAGTTAAATACGAGTTTAAATATAAATGAGAAATATTTATATATATATTTCGAGATTGCCATTAAAAATTGCTATTGATGCAATCACTGACCCCTGGTTGCCCCTATTTTTACTGTTGCAGATTCGAAGATGAAGTGGCCATTAGTGCTGACTTGCTTTCTGTTGCCGCATTCGTGCATCCTAGGTGCATCGCATGCCGGTAAGTGGTTATTCTTCCAGTTTCTTATCCTGTAATCGCGGAATAAATTATATCGTCCGCAATCATCTTGTTATTTCGCGTATCGACCGTGTGACAGGCCGACGAATAATCCTCCCTGCCTCCATCGGCCTGAATAAATTAGCGACCGCTTTCTCCAACTCGGCCCCTCCATTATCTCTGGAAATACTCCCCCCCCTTAATTAACCCAACCGATTCCTAACCGACATATCTTTACATGTTTAAAAATTCGCTCAAAACAATCTCGATAGAAAGAAAATTTTAAAATCTTCTCGAACCAGAGAATTCTTTTCCGTTTCGTCGTTTCGAGGATAAATTTGTATTTTCATTTATAAATCTCTCGAGAAAAAAACGCAAAGGAAAAAAAAAAAAAAAGAAGAAGATGTTCAGAACAGAAAGGGAGAAAGAGAAACGTGGACTCGTTAATAAATGTTCGTCACCGCGACATCGGTACTCACAAGGATTGACCCAGATGCGATAAAACCGGCGCCATTATAGCGTCGTAAATCATCCCCTCGATCGACAGTTTGTTCGAAGGTTGGGGGGAGGGGGCGTAGCGACCCTCGATTCCGCGCAACGAGCCGTGAAAACGGGCATCGGGGCCAGAAAAACAACCGAATTGAATCTATTTCCCTCCTTCTATTAGCCCTGCTATGGAGCGCGAAAAGCCTTAATCCGCCCCCTGTTGTTGGAAAGGAATCCGGCGCTAGAAAGTCTTGCTGGAAAAATACCTGAATACAGGATTGAGATTGAAAATCATAGTGCTGATAGACAGTCCCAAATTTTCTTTCCAATGTGACTTTTATTTCAAAAGTATAAACATTACAAGTAAACTCTAATAAACATTTATTTATAATCAATCACACAATGATGCTCTATTTTTAATGTGAAATCTATAAATTTCTGTTCTATGAAAATTTTAATACATTTAATGTATTTAAATATATATATAGAAAGTTCACAAATTTTCTTGTATAATGTGACTTTTATTTCAAAATTATAAATATTATGAGTAAACTCTAATAAGCATTTATTTATAATCAATCATAATGAAAGTTCTGTTCTACAAAAGTTTTAATACATTTAATATAGCATTTAAATATATATATATATATATAGAAAATTCCAAATTTTCTTTTCAATGACTTCATTTATTTTACAATCAATTACACAACAATGCTCTAAATTTTTAATACATGAGATCTATAAATTTTTGTTCTATAAAAGTTCTAATACATTTAATATAGCATTTAAATATATATAGAATATATATTTAATTTATAATATATATAATATAATTTAATATATAATATAATTTATATAATTTTATATATAATATATATATATAGAAAGTTCCAAACTTTCTTCCCAATATGGCTTCATTTATAATCAATTACACAAAAATACTCTATTTTTAATACACGTGAGATCTATAAATTTTTAATACATTTAATATAGCATTTAAATATATACATATAGAAAATTCCAAATTTTATTTCCAATTACTTCATTTATAATCAATTACACAAAAATACTCTATTTTTAATACACGTGAGATCTATAAATTTTCTATAATACATTTAATATAGCATTTAAATATATATATATAGAAAGTTCCAAATTTTCTTTCCAATGACTTCATTTATTTTATAATCAATTACATAATGATACTCTATTTTTAATACACGCGAGATCTATAAATTTCTGTTCTACGAAAATTATAATACATTTAGTGTAGCATTTCAGTTCCAAATTTTCTTTCTATATATATATGACTTCATTTATAATCAACGATGCTCTATTTTTAATACACGTGAGATTTATAAATTACACAACGATACTCTATTTTTAATACACGCGAGATCTATAAATTTCTGTTCTACGAAAGTTCTAATACATTTAAACGTAGCATTTAAATACATATATATATATGAAATAGAAACTGTCGAGTTATGATAATCCGTGGAAATACGTCGAGGTGGATAATTCCTGGGCATAATGCACAGCGAACCATGAGTGAACCTGTCCTCGCGCAGGCACCACGTGGTCAGATAAATTGCTTTTGCTTCCCTTCCGTGGAAGGAGGAAACTGTGGCAAGCCAACATGTTGTTCTTATTGTTTCGATTTCTGGTGTAATTAATCATAGGCCCTCGCACCCCTTTAGGATTAGATAGTGCTTAAGTGGGGCGGAGGAATGATTCGAGCACGTGCGAATTTTGAACGAATTCAGACTTTTGAATGAATTCGGGATGAAAATCGATCATATTCGATCGACCTAGATGATTCAAAATGATATTACATAGAAACTCTTTAGAAAATCTTCTCAAAAAGAAGAAAAGAGAGAGGAGACACGTCTCCTAATTTTATTTCGAGCAAAGGAACAGTTATCAATCGATTGATTCGTTGCAAGCGTCAACTTCCATTAGTGCAAAGTATTTCCTTCTTTCAATTTCCAATTCCACGCCGTTCTACCGTTCTACGCCCAATTTGCATGTGAATGGACCGTAAAAGAACTGCCGAAGATAAGCCGAGAGAGCGCGTAAATATTTCCTTCCGCGATTGCCAACTTCGGTAATAAACAGGTTAAAGGATCGTAATCGTATAGCGAACGAAATTGTTCCGAATGGTCGAAACGGTAATCCTCGCCCATCCACGATTACGATCTCCGTTCCGCCATTATGCACCATTAGGGATACGCCTGTATACTGACCGAGCTTGTAATAAATTCCTTAGCGTGGCTTATTACCAACAAGGCCTTAAAAATGGCCTGGATTCTGCGATTCTACAAAGCGAAATCTTCTCACCCATTTCCAGAGACATCAATCTGCGGAGAATCAAATTTTACTTTCCATTATTTAAATCGATCTTTGATCTTATCTACGTACGTAGTTCGACTCTATAGTTTCGAAACGATTGTTATACACACGATGGAAGAGGGGTCGATGGCCCTTTTCTATTCCTCGATTCGTCCAGGCAAATCGTACAGGCAAATCTTCGTGTTGATGGAGGGATGGGACTCGGTGTCTCGAGACACGCGGACACTGTTCAGGGGCAAAGTGCAGTCACCCGCCAAGCTGGTGTAGGAGGAGGAGGGGAGGAGCAAAGGAACCGCATCGGAGAACTCGACGAGACTTTCCCCTTTCGACTTAATTGGCGGCTTCGAGACTAACGGTGGCGGCCGTCTACGTCGATTGAAGTGGCGCTTTGGCCACGGTCGCGGACTAAGAAGCTGGAAACTCGTTAACGGCCCTTGCGAAACAATCGATCCCTCTTCTCGGGATTCTCGTCTATTTTTTTTCATTTCATCAAGTGTACGGGTATATATTCGAAAGTTGGGTAGATCCATCGTCGATCTGTAGTCTGTCCGATTGAAATTCCAAAGGGGGATTAAAAAAAAAAAGAGGGTAATTTACAAGTATGATATAATATTCGAATAATAATATTTCATTACGTCACATTTCATTTTCAACAACGAAAGTTATTGGGGCATTTATTTGTAATTCCTTTACAATCTATGCAACGGTTATATTATTGTAATATACAAAGAAATTAAATTTGCCCAACGTTGAAACTAATATCGGTTAATCGATCCGTTAATTAAACAGTAACTGCCCCAGTTTTGAAACAATTGTGTCTCGTTCCGTGAAACTGGAACGTCTAAACCAATTTATGGGGGATGGCGGGGAGGAAAATGGAGAGAGGAACCGACGATTTAATTTTCTTTCATTAACGTCACTCCATCGCGCGATTAGTCATGAATTTTATAACCGACGTTGATCACCATTAACGCGTGGAAAAATAGAGGTGGCCGCAACAATGAACGTTCGAGGTATCTCGATGAATTCTCCCGTCGTTATTGTTCCCACGACCCATTAACAGTAGTTCGTAGCTACTTACGAGTTTGCAAAATAATGGCGTTTCGATCGAAAACAGGGAACGTCTCTCGACATCGCTAATTAAGCTCAAAAGTATCAATGAAACGTCGGAAAGTAAATCATTAAGAATGCAATTGCAATCTTCCCTTTTGGAAATTTTTACGTGCGTCACTGTACTTCTCTACGTTTTAATTTGGTTCCCTAACATCGATGAATTTATTATTAACATTTTCTTTTTCTTTTAAATAATATTGCATCAAGAGTAAAGCGAAAAAATTATGCAAGTCGAGTTAAGGTCGAATGACTTTAAAGATTTTGTTTTTTTTTTTATAGATTTAAATGTATAATATATTATTGGTAACTGGTACCTAATTTATATTCTTTAATAATTACTCGAGTCTTTAAGGTACTTTAATATCTCTATTTTATTTATATTCATAGTTTAAGGTGTTTAGATATATGTAAAGGTACAATTCGTATCTTGTATATTTATGTGAATTAATCACTGTTTCGATTCTGTTTTTTTTTTTTTGTTTTGTTCCTCTTTTTGATATCGTGTGACATAGCACGATCCACATCTATAGTTTATTCCTATTTCTCTCATTAAATATATTCATCATTTCACAATCTATTCCCTAATAATATAAGCATTTTGAATTTGCTTTTACTGGTTATTAACACACGATTAGGAATGCGACACTAGCGCCACGTAACCATTAACTATCAATCTATGTGATTCGACAACTCTCAACTATTAATAATTTTATTTTTTACTCGCTAAAAGTCTACATCTTCAACTAATTATAAAAATGTCTTTGAACAATTTGATCAGGTAGCTATAAAGCGAAAGCTGTTTGAATAATATCATAGTTTTTCCTACTTTCTTTATTAAATATATTCTGTATTTTCTAATCATTTCACAATTTATTAATATAGATTGAATTTAGAATTTGCTTTTGCTGATTATTAATAGTATGGCGACCAGGAATGCGACACTAGCGCCACGTAACCATTAACTATCAATGTGATTCGACAAGTCTCAGTTACTAATAATTTTATTTTTTTATTCGTAAAAGTCTACATCTTCGACTAGTTATAAAAATGTC